GGAAAAAGAAAGTGGCACATCATGACTGGCTCTTGAAAATTCCACCTAAAAATGACATGTGACTTTTGCTCCTATTCTTTTGGCAGAAGCAAATCATATGAGCAGCCCCAATTCAAAGTGACTGCAGAGGGGCATTCCCCTCAACTAAAAGGAAAACTTGTGTAAGAAAAACAATAACTTCATCAAATTTCAGTGGACACATATTCATTTTAAATTCCTAAAATGCATCAGCTTCTAACAAACCTAGCTACGTTTGCCAGTGAAACAACTTGGCTTTATCAAAATAATTGCAAAATGAAACAGTATCACCTTTGTCGCAGAAAGTCAATTTGGGTGTTTGCACTTTGGATTGTCCTGTGTGCACAGAACATCTCAAAAAGATTTGAAAAGATTTGTTTAGACAATAAAGTGGGAACAAGAATATACAGTCGACCCTTCATATGCATGGGTTCTGCATCTGCAGATTCAACCAACTGCTGATCAAAAATAATAAAAATAAATTGTGTCTGTATGAATATGTGCAGACTTTTTTCTTGTCATTATTCCCTAAACAATACAGTTGATAAACTCTTTAGGTAGTGCTTACATTTTCTAGTACTATAAGTATACAGGAGAATACACATAGATTATATGCAAATGCTACACCATTTTCCATAAGGAACTTGAGCATCTAAGAATTTGGGTATCTGTGGAGGTTCTGGAACCAATTCCTTATGAATACTTAGAGATGACTATATTCAACTTCATATCTTAAGGACTTATCCCAACTCCATTTCTCCTTTAAAAAGAAAAATATTTTACTTACTATTAAGAGGGAGCATTTCTTAAAATTTAATTTTTTTCTTCCTGTGAGGTGTAGTGGTGCATGCTTATAATCCCAGTGAATCAGGAAGCTGAGGCAAGAGAATCACAAGTTCAAGGCCAGCCTGGGCAATTTAGTGAGCCCCTCTCTCAAAATAAAAAATAGGAAGGATATGAGATGATATGAGATGTGGGAAAGGTAGCTCAGTGATAGGATGCCTCTGGGATCAATCCCCAGTACTACAAGAAAACTGGAGGGGGACGCCTCTGGGGCCGTAGCTCAGTGGTAGACCACTTGCCTAGCATGTGTGAGACACTAGGTTTGATCCTTAGCACCATATAAAAATAAATAAATAAAATAAATGCATGCTGGTCATCCTCTTAAAAAAATAATCCTTTTTTTTTTCTCTCCTGCACACTCAGGATTTGTTGACAGTTTGAGGGTTCTGATTCTAGAACTACACTGAAAACATTTGGAGTGTACTAAAAAGAAAGGTCCTTTTTCTGCTTTGGCCTCATGCTCTTGGAGAGACCCAAAAGAGAGTTGACAGTGTTCAGAATGGCCCCGGCCCTAGTTTCAGCCTAGAAAGAACTAGATAGTTCTCAGTCATCTACCTCCTCCTTCCACCTCTTATACCTCTTCCTGCCCCTACCTAATAGTAACGAGAACAACAACTACACCACCAGTTACAGATTCACAAACAGATGTGGAATGACACAGGTAATGATTTCACATGATGGTTGATGGCATTTGCCAACATAAAAATTATTACCCCTTTTGCTATAAATTCTTCTATAAATTTTATAAACTATGCAAAAACTGACATTTCAAGAACTGAGGTGATTTAGATTTATTAAAAAGTTGAGCCCCTGGAGATTCAACAAAAGAGAGTACTTTATATTTCTTTATTTAGTTTTTAGTTGCATGGGTCTCACTTTTGTTTTTCCAGCTCCTGGTTTATAATTCATAGGTTGAAACTAGGCATGACTGAGCTTTGACCACTTAATCCAGCTTTACTACAGATGTCTCCTGGGTCTTGGGCAGCAGATAAAACTTCTCTGAATTCCAAATTTCTTTATCAGAGCATGTGGGATTCATGGCCACTCTCTAAAAGTTGACAGAAAACAATTTCATATCTAGAAAGCACTCTAAAATGCATCTCAGACATAAACTGGTGCCACTGTCTCTAGAGAGGATGGGTCCCAGGGAGACTTCTGTCACTACTCTGTCCTCTCTTTGTCTCTTCCTCACGTGCCCCTCTCTATTCAGCACCACACTCTGGTGTGGCCACCATGGCTATGCTGCCTTGGCTCTCTCCCAACAGAACCTTCATTACAATGTACCTCTCACCTGAGACCGTCAGAAAGGATCTTTCCTAAAGCAGCTGCTCTTGCCTGTCATGTGCAGAGACACCATGGTCACAGTTGGAATAAACCAAGTACATTTACCAGCCCCTGTGGAAACATGGCATGGTTGTGTGTGTATGCGCTGCGAATGAGTTCATCACATGTCCCTTTGAAAGGAATGGCATGGCAGGTTACTTCCGCCTTTGTCCTCAGAACTAGAAATCATGAAGAATTAAAGTGGAAATCATCATCATAAATCAGGCTGTTTTCTAGCTTGCCTGTCTCCCTCTCACTGACTCAACTCTCCCACCCCTGCTCTTAAAGTTTGAAGACTAGTTTAGATTATAAATCTCAGCTTCACTGGGGCAAAACCTGACCTTAGCATTCCTTGCACACCAGTTGTCCCCGGTGTAATTAACACTGCCCTGCATGTTTAGGCAATTATCATTGCACCGCATGGTGGGGTGCTGTACTCCCGCCTCCGCTGGGGCAGGAGGCAGTGTTTGGCTCCACGGCTCTTGCAAATCTTGTGTCTTCACCCAGCTGGAGGTGCCCTTGTGGTGGTCTCTCCTATACACTGTTTTCTGAAAACAGTAGTGATTTCTCATGATGTCTGAATTACCCTCCCTTCTACAGTTATAGGCAATTCCTTCCTGACTAGGTCAGGGTCTCCAGGACCCTGGCCCTAAAACATATTTCACTTCTCTGGGAAGTTTCATTTGTCCTCAGCTATTGCAAACACGATCTTGCTGAACAGAACTGAATTTTGAACGCTGTTTGTGGTGGGGATTCTGATGGCTTCACGTTAGTTCAAGTCTCTGAGGACCAGTGCCAATAAATGTGAAAGGGACAACAGTAGATTGGCATACTTTTCCATTTCCACCAGGATGAAAAAACTGCTATAAATTAAGTCTAACCTTAAATGTATAATCTGTCCTTGGGAGGGGAAAAAAAAAAAAAGGATATAGCATCTTCAAGCTCTCGGCATCCCTTACGAGAAAAAATTGGTTCTAAGGGTCTCTGATCTTGTGTTTTAGTAAAATAGAACTGCACGGCTGACTGACAGTTCTGATCTAAAGCATTTACGTTTAAGTTTTGATCTCTCTGCTTTTGATTAAAACTAATGAGCTCATTTAATTCAAAATGGGAATCTCTGATAAGAGAAATAAGGTTGATGTGATTGGATTAGAGGGGCAAATTAAACTCTTAGAGCAGAAGTTTGTGCTTATATAGTGTATTAAAAAGCTGTTGGCGTATTATGGCGTGTTAGATGATGAGAAAAATTTCATAGTAATTCATATTTAATCAGAAGAAATGAAAGTACTAAATATAACATGGCTCTGCTTTTCCCTCGAGTGATAAAAAGCTGTACATTTAAAATGACATCAGATCCATGCTCTCTAAAACAAAAAAAAGAAAAAAGAAAAGAAAGAAAGAAAGAAAAAGAAAATCTTGAGACACATAAGAAAGGGATGCTTGTCAATGGTCCCATCGCCCCAGAATAGAAATGCCACAAATGTAGGAATATAGAGTCTTATTAAGAATGATACAAGAAAAGCCCCAGACCACAAATAGCAAGGTTTCTGTTATTAGAGTAGCTCTCATTTCTTCATCTGAGCATCAAGTTTAATATGACAAATAGACATTATGTACTCTTAGAAATACATGAATTACATTTCATAATCTAAAATTTAAAAGCTTGTTTTACCATTTTTATCTATTTTAGTAGCCATTTTTACATATACTTAGTTCTTAAATCTCTTAATTAACTGTATTTCTTTACCTCCATTCCAGAGAAAATTAGTGTTAGCTTAGGGCTACTTAAAAAAAACAACAACAAAAAAAAAAACCTTCATTGTTGTTCTACATCATTTTTTCCTTTTGAATAAGAAAAACTTTAATATTTAAGAAGAGTAGAATTTGAGTATTTTTTTAGGCTTTAACCCCCTCACCCCCCACAATTATTTTATTTGCAGGAAGAGACCTAAATTCATAAAATACCTTAGAAGCTTATTTTTAAGAAAACAGACTTATGCTGCCTTCTGATCCTTTTGCATGAAGGTGTGCTTAGATCAGCAAGATTTTAAGCTACCACTTTTAAGTTTCATAAGTCTACAAATTTTCTACTTACTCTAAAAACATATGAAAGAAACAATTAAGTATTTTGTTTAAGAGAAGAACCCTATTTTCTCATATCAGAAGCAGAGAAGTGAAAAAAGAGACCCCTGCCTATATGGGTAAGGGCCAGGGGCAAGATGCCATTGTGACAGGAATGAGAAGTTGATATCGTGAGTAGTTTTTATTTCTGTCCTCGGTACATCCCATTCTCATCCCTCTGTCTGGAGTCAGTTGAGAAGACCTTGGGTTTCTTGTCCCCGCAATGAAGAAAACCAACTCAGGAGGGCAAGGACATTGGTCAGGATGTGGCTCTCCAATCTAGGAGGCTTTGTGGTCTGACCCCTCATCAGAAGCATCTCTGCCTGTACCTTGGTTGACCCCATAAATCTACAGGGCCTTTTTCCTGACAGTCCTCTCTGCACAGGACTCAACTGAGTCTCAAAGTGAGCTACAATTACTTACCATTGGAACCCACTTAAGGAGCTGCTGCAAGTTAAAAGACTTGAAAAAAATCTCTAGCTAGAAACAGGAAAGAAGCTACTTTAGACACATTAATTTTTCTTTTTTATTTTCTGCAAAGTAAACATTCTCTAAATGAGGTAAATTGATTACTACACTCTTAGCACCCATCAGTCATTTATTTTTAGTGAACTCAAGGATTGCACCTGAGCAGTAGCTGTGAAGGGCTGTGGAGAGCTCTAAATCACGTGTGTATGTATTTTTGTATTCCTCAGTGGAGTCCACCAGCCCCAGCCTGCTAACCACTGACAACACCCTTGAGCGTTCCTTTTTCATCCGAATGAAATCTACTCTGACCAAACGTGGCGTGCACATCAAATCGTCAGGATATAAGGTAAGCTGGGTTCGAAGAGGGGAGACATTTCTGTTTCAGACCAATCTGAGCTAATTTGCATTGAGTTTTCCAGATGCCTTGGGTCTGTATAATTAACACATGTGACCTTGACCAGCCCATAGGGTTCCTAGTCATCTTTCCTGTCTCAGAGTAGGGCTTCTTTATACCTCCTTATCACTTTATACCTCCTTATCACTTCAGACATTGCTGATGCACTAAATGCCCCAGGGTCGTGTCTTTTCTTAAAACGCTGGTTAATAACACGCCAAGTGCTTCAGCACCTGCAAGAAATTCACTTTGATGGAGAAGGTGACCCAAATTCATATCAGTCCTTAAAAGGAGTATTCTAGAACTGTTGCTTATGAAAGTTCTACTTCTCTCACTTTCCCCTTCTAATTCTCCCTTTCTCGTTAGGGAAAGACTGTTCAGCTTAGGAGCATCTTGGCTGCTGATATCTGTACACATAGATAGGAAAATCAGGTTGGGTGTTAGAAACTTTCATTCTGAAATTACAGTAATTGAACATCAGTCATACGTTAGCATACACGGAATACATGACATACAGAGTATATGTTCCTCACAAGCAGAGACCAAGTCTGGAGTCATAATCTACATTATTATCATTTTAAGGTTAAAGATATAAAAGCCCTCTGATCTCAAGAAATTCCAACATTCCAGTTACTATAGCAACATAAATTAAGACCTATGAAATGCCTTTGGCAACCTGAATCTTATCAATTTTACAGCACACCAACCAATCTCAAGCAATATTTATTGTCTGTAGGATGGCAAACAGAAACAGAAACTGAATGTATCATTGATGTGGCCAGCATGACCTTCCCCAGTTTGGGACTTTAGAACTCCTGATAACTCAGTTCTTTAGGGTGACCATAGCATTGTCAAGGGTAAAAACAGCTGTTAACATCAGGCATTGAAACATTCAGATAAGTCATCAGGAGACTAGCAGCTGTATAAAGTCAGAGTCAGGCACTTTCTTTGACATTAATTCTTCAGAAAAAAAAGGGGAAAAAAAAAAAAAAGAAAGAAAGGAGGTGGGAAAGCGGGCCCTTCCAAGGACGACCTTTAGCTGAGCTGTCCTACAGTCTGAAAGGCACATGTGGTACAACCTTGACCTTTCCAGGGTGTGAAGCAAAGAGGCAGCCAGGGCAGTTCCACCTGCGCCTGCCGCCTGCTGCAATTCACCCTATGGAGGCTGGTTGCAAAGCAATGTATGGGGGAAAGAAAACAGACCTCATCCTTAGGACCACTTTGTAATTCCCTGCCTTGCTGAACACTATGCATTTATTAGTTGTTAACTGTGTAGCATTAGCCAGTTTAGGATTCTATAAACAGACTACAGATGTGGAGATTATTGTTACTTTTATGCTAGAATGAGGCATTCTTTGCATCCCAGATTTTAGGAGCCCTATATTTTCTTTCAACTCTTACTTTTCTGTCTCTCAGCATCGTTTCTTCACCTTTTCTGGGTTTTACTGGTTTGTGGGGGTATATCATAGGAGGAGCAGGTTTTAAAATGCAATAGTTAGTATAATTCAATATCATTAGATAATGTAATTTTTAAAATTCTGTTTATACTACAAGCTAGAAATCGCAAAGCTCTTCAGAATTTTTGGTCTGCAAGAGTAGAACTGGTCAGGTGCAGAGGCACATATCTGTAATTTCAGGGTCTCAAGAGGCTAAGGCAGGAGGATCTCGAGTTCAAAGCCAGCCTGAGCAACTTAGCAAGGCACTAAAAAAATTATTGAGACCCTGTCTCTAAATAAAATATAGAACAGGGCTGGAGGTGTGGCTCAGTGTTTAAATACCCTGGGTTCAATCCTTGGTACCCCCCCCCCAAAAAAAGGCTATGTGGATAAAGAAGTAATATGAAGAAACAGTTTGGGCCTACGAAAGAGACCAAGTATTTTGTGTTTGATTTGCCATATGGGCATCTCAGCAAAGTTGATTTTGCTGCTAGACCTGATCAGACAAATGAAGATCTTAGAGACTGATACTTCATTCATTCAGCAAAGATTCATTTAATTCCCACTATGGGACTTGTTCCAGATCCTAAAAATCCAGCATTGAAGAATAATGTTTTTTGCTTTCATAAAAAGTTTTCCTCTTACAAATCCCACCATTATGTACAACTATAATGCATCAATAAAAATATGGAAAAATGTTTCCCCCTTACATTCTATTGGGGGAGATGGACTGTAATAAATCAATTAATAAAGAAGGTGATCTCAAAGAATAATGAATACCAAAGTAACAACAGGTGAGCTCTAGGGCCTGACAATATGTAGGGCATGGTATAGTTTACAGATATTAAGCATCACAACAGTCCTAGAGGAAAATGCTTTTATTGGTTCCACTTCACAGAATAAGAAACTAATGCTAGGGAGGATGATTAGCATATTTATGCTAGAACCAGGCATTCTTTGCATCCCAGATTTTAGGAGCCACATTAAAGAAGACAGATTAAAGAAGACAGAATTTGAATTTGGGGAGTCTCAATCCACACCCCATGTACTTAACAACTAGGCTACACTACTATGTGGAGTGAAGTCAGGTAAAGTGAAGGAGTGGCTGGTAGGGACCAGAGACCACTTTAGATAGGAGGGTCACAGAAGGCCTCTCTACATAGCTAACATATCACCTATGAGTAGTGAGTAAGAAGGGAAGAAACAAATGGAATAAAAATGTTTCTGAAGCAATTTCATTTTAGGATTAAATATATCTTGCTATAAAGGTGGCCTTAAAGAAATAAAATATTAAAATGCACAACCTTGAACAAACAGTATTGAAAAAGATTTGGGAGCTATTGCAGAACCCATCAAATCATATAATGTTAAAGTACCCATACTCCTCTACCATACCCTATTCAAAAGTCTTTCCCAAGATACCATGAAAGCCCCCACCTAGTGCCTTATTCCCCTCCCCAGAATGGCTGCCTACAAGAATTGATTCATCCACTGTCCCCCAATAAGATGAATCACCCAACAGATATGACTTGTCCCCTCCTCCTTCTCAGTGAACGAACATCTCTCATTAATTAACCTTGTCTGAAATTTGGTAGAAAAACTGATGAGAACCCATGACATACACAACTGAATAACATCCCTACTTATTTGTTCATTCTCAGTAAGTAAATCTAGCAGCTTATAAAACATTCCAATAAAACTGGTAATCATCCCGCCACCACACAATAAACACAAATAAAAGGAAACAGTGAAGATAATTTCTCTGTCCCAATATTCACCCTAATTTATTACTATTGTGTGCATCTCTCTTTTTCCCTTAAAGATCCAAGATGGTAAGCCTAGCCCAGTGCAGGTCACTATACTTCTCTCCATTTTCTCCTGTGATTTTGGTACATGAACCTTTAGAAAGTTCTTCATCATTTTATCTGTTGCTGTTACCACTGACAGTAATCACAGAAACAAAAATACCACTTACTGAGCATTGACCCTGTGTCAGGTACTGTGCCAACCATTTTATATTTATTTTTTTTAATCCACAGAACATTATTATTTGAAAGCCTCCTTTATGCATTGTTTTTCTCATTTTCCATATAGTGAAACTGAGGCCTTAATAGACAAAATGCTTTCCCATGGTCATAACTTTTAGGTAGCTAGTGAGGAGTCAAAATCGAATTCATGCAATATTGATTGATTGATTTTTTGCAATACTGGGGATTGAACCCAACAGCACTACCACTGAGCTTCACCTCCAGCTCTTTTTGTTTTTATTTTGACACAGGTTGATAAGTTGCTGAGGCTATCCTCCAAATTTCAATCCTCCTGCCTCAACTACCTAAGTTGCTGGGATGACAATCATGAGCCGTGGTGCCAAGATTGAATCCATGCCATTAGATTCTAGCATTTTAACCCCTCTCTTCACTGCTTAATTAAGTCCAAAGATGAGCTCAGGATGAGATGGACATCAGTATTTGAAACATTATTGAATTTAAATTTTTAAAAGAAAAACTTCTTGCCTGATTAAAACCTTCCCCTTGTGGCTCACTAAATCCCATTGCACTGATATAGCCACACTTGTTGATTACAATGCCCCCCAAGGATTTACCTTCCTTCCTGGGACTCATACCTGCTCCCACAAAGGCTGAACATCCCTAAGCTGGAAATCTGAAATGCTCCAAAGTCTGAAACTTTTTAACACTATCATAATGCTACAAGTAGAAAATTCCACACCTGACCCCATGTGACAGGTTGTAGTCAAAACACAAATGCACTAAAAATATCATATATAACTGCCTTCAGGCTGTGTATAAGGTGTCTAAGAAATATAAATGAATTTCATGTTTAAACTCGGTTCCAATCTCCAAGATATCTCCTTATGGATATACAAATATTCCAAAATCTGGGAGCAGAGGGACTGTAATTTGAAACACTTCTGGTCCCAAGCACTTCAGATAAGGGATACTCAACCTGTACCACATAACTAAGACTCTTAGCCAGAGAAATGCCAGTCTCCATCTACTACAGAGTGTCAACTGTTGAGGCTTAGTTTGTTACACCCCAGTCCTCAGGAAAGTTGCCCTCTCTAATGAAGTTTCCTGACTATGAGCTGACATTGGGTTGTTTCTGTCCTCATTTGCTTTGAAATCCACGGTAGCATGTTATCTGGTCCAGCCACTGCTTATGCCTTAGGGGCTTCCCTGTTGTTTGGGTCTCATTGTTGGGTACATATCTTAGCCTAACACAGCTCCCATTTAAATTGCCTCCCATCCCTATTCTGCCTTCCTGATTAGGTCTATGGCTGGGGGAACTCACTAGGTGTAGCACATGGGGTACAAGGAGATACGCAATCAGGGAAATTATAGAAGCGGAGACTAATTGGGTCGCCTCCTTAGCTCCTGTCTTTGGAGGATAGTTTCCTTTGGTGTGGGACTTGCAGTTTCCTAATCTACTCTTAAATACCCACCAGCAGCACTGTCATTTCTGAAATATTTATCCCCACACATTCTAATGTCCTAACTC